AGTTTTAGGCTGTAAAACCCGTCACTACACACTTTATACACTTTTCTCTTTTGTTTAAACTCTCAAAGTTCAAACCTTCGTAAAAAAAAAAAATTATAGAATGAAACCAAAGATCAAAACCTGCTTTCAGTCCCAAACATTTATTTGAGAAATAAACCTACAGTGTATTTGTTTTTCTATAAATAATGACAGATTTTAGAACGAATGAATTTAACTTTAAGTTTAATGCACTTTACAATCCAGTGCGCGGTATGGTTAAAAAAAAAACCCAAATACAGTAACTTCTACCTTCCGTCCAGAAGTCCAACTTTTTGTGCGATGTTTAGCATCTTCCTCTGCCCTTCAGGGGCTACCGCAGGTGCCTTTGATGGTGCAAAACATTTCATCGACATTGTTGTGTTTGTTGGGCACGGCATGGAGGAGATCGACAGTGGTCTGCAGATCAGGACGCAGAACACACTGCGAGTAAAAAAAAAAAAAAGCATGCAAAATTGCACTAAAAGAATCCCTGAAACAGCGAGGCTGCAAAAAGTGAACGGCGTTATAGTGTAATTGTGAAGATAAGTCACAACATACCCTTTGTGAATACTGATATATAGAGGGTTTTTTGCTTTAATGTCAGCTCCTCATGTTTTGCAAAGAAACTGTACGTGATGGAGGGACATGGAGATCATTTTTGGATTCAGCACCATAAAAAAAACATAACATTTAACAAAAATATCTCATGCAGCTGAAATTCTTTTTTTCAGACCTGTGTTATTTTGCATCTGAACGAGGTCGCTCACCTTGAAAGCAGTTGTCTCTGATTTTTGTCAGAGTCCTCTCTTCACTGAAGTCTCTCTTTCTTCTCTCAGCATTTATATCGTCATCAATCTTTGAGCGAACAAAGTAGAACTTTTTCTCCATCCTCTGAATCTCCTGAGCGAGTTTCACATCATTCTCTTTGAACCGAGCAGCCGCGATGATGATGAAGAAGTCAAACTTCTCAAATCCAATACGTTCCAGGTACGTGTCAGATGGAAAATTTGGGGTACCAACTCCAGGAAGATCCCAGAATTTAACGTTGGGATAGTTTGGATGGGAGTATTCTTTAACCTCCATGGTGCATTCTGTAACACCAGTAGGAGCAGCTCCCTCATCATCATCACTCACACCTCTGAAGGCGTTAACAAAGGTGGATTTACCAGAACCAGATTCCCCAGTGATGGCGATATTCAGTGTGATGTCATCCATCCCCAGTGGCTCTTTGACCATTCCAACAGCTGATGGTTTGTCATGGAGTTGTAGAGCTTTAATTTCCTCAGTAACTGATTTACAGTCAGTTTGAACAGCCATCTTTATCCTCGATAACTGCAGTAAGAGAGATGTTGAAAGTTATTACACAACTGGAAAAATAATAATACCTAGTTTTTTTTCAGTTAACATACAAAACTGTATGATGTCATGACCATTTCAGTGTATTGAAATGGTCATAATACAAGGCTATGAAAATTTAAAGTTCTTAAAATTTCCTTGCAGGTCTACTGCCATAATATCCGAGGAGTAGAGCTGGGCGATAGAACGATAACGATATGTATTGTGAAATAACTTTTTCTCGATAGAAAAATGAAACTATTGCGATAGACCTCATCTCTCTCTTTCTTGTCCTATTAGAAAAAAAGAAAAAAAAGAACAGCCAATCCAAATTAAGTAGCGCAGAGCTGAACCAATCACAGCTGCAGCGTCACGTCACATGACTTGTTACGTACAGCACAAGTGCCAAGCCGCACATGTGTATTTGTTTGGGAAGCAGCCAAACAAATTTAATAAACACTTTAATAAACATGTAACTTGCATGGATTCGATGCTGGCGTGACCACAGTGCACACGTCTGCTGTTGCTCACA